CGGTAGGGGCAAAGCTACCGGGAGTAAACAACTCCTCGTTTAATCCCGAGACGGGACTCTTATCGCTTCTTTTATGCATACTTTGTAGACCTTGTTAGTGTTCTCTTACGCGCACTCCACGTACTTTTTCAACTATTTACTACTATTTAACGGAGCATTTTTTAATTTAGCGAACGCGCACGGAGCGTCCGCGCGACGAACACTTTGCGTGGATATTAAAATTCCTTCGAGATTCTTTTTCAAGTTCACTGCTCTTTCTCCGGAGAAAAAAACTCCGTTCAGACGTAGTTGAACATTCTATGACACAGGTAGCGACTATACGCATTTATTGGGTCTGCACGCATTTCTTTGCATTCTTTCGCATAAATGAATTTTACAGAAAAAGTTATTACTTACTTATATGCCTATTACATTCTACAAATATATGATAGCTTTAGCAGAAATTATGTCATTAAAAATTTTCCAAAATATGTATTTTAATCTTAATCAACATTACATTATATTTCATGTATGTTATATTGTTAATATTATATTGTTTTATATTTTTTATATATATTTATATATTTTATATTATATATTTTACGTTAAATATTTTATGTATTATATTTTAAAATAATATAATTATTTTTTTATTTAATTATATACGAGTTCTTCAAATTTAAGTGCGGTATGTTTTCATTATGCCAAGAATGTATTTGATTCCGATACTTTATAACATAACAAAATATTATATTTTCTTTCCTATAAAAATATTTGCGACAAAATATGTGATAATATTTTCTGTAATGATTAATAAATCATTGATTTTAGAAGAGAAAGTAAAAAATATTAATTTTCAAAAAATTATGTAAGTTAATAAAGTAGAAATTAATTAAAAAAAATTGTAACAGTTAGAATGTACAGTTAGAAAAAACGATGCGAATATTAAGTATATTAATTATTACATATTAAGGAGTTTAAAAAATGATGATTATATAAACTCGGCAAATTCCGCTTATCGAAAAAATTAAAATGTCATTATAATATTCAGCTTTAAATTAGTATAATAATCGCTTTCTTAATTTCGATCACATTGAAAAAAAAATTCGATTTTAATGACATTTTAATGGAATTCTAGTTTTGGATCAATTTAGAACAAACGATAAGTTATACACAGTCTGTCATTTCATAAGACGATTATATGTATAAGCTTATCGACTTTATCATTTTACATTTGAGATTGTGAAGCTCTTCTTTCTCTACATATTTTCTTTCTTCTTGTGAGAAACGCGCTGAGTAATCGATTGAATGAAGAATGGTGTCTGAATGAGAAGAAAGCGGGTTCGCTCGTATTTACTCGCACAAACTCGTGCATGCGCGCGTAAAAGTGAGAGAAACGTGATGGGGAAACAGCAGCGGGGAAGTGCGGGAAATCGCGCTGTTTCGATGCCATTTCCATGGAAATTGAGCACCTCGAGACGGCCCGCCGGGTTTCCAGCTGCTTTTCGACGTCTCGATTCGCGGCGCGCGATAGAGTGCAAAAAGGAAAAAAGAAAAATCGAGAACGCGAATTATCAAACTTGAAAAGTGGAAACGAGACAAAATATCGCTATGCCTAGATAAGTTAGAAAATTGGAGATTTATAAAATAAAGTTAATTTTTTTAAGGTCATACCATATATTGAATACAAAACTTTTAAATTTAAATTTAGAATTTTTTTAATTATATTTTGATCTTAAAATAGAAAATAGTGTAAGTGTAATTCTACATTACGTAGAATTATATTTAAAAGTCTATCGAAGTTAATTATTAACTGCCATGAGAAGAGAGCTTTAGGTATGTAAAAAAATTAAACATAATTTGTATGATATAAAAAAAATGTTGTGAAAAAGTTATGAAATATTTTTGCAAGAGTCATTTTTATTATTTCAAATTTTGTAATTTTTTAGTTTAAATTTTTCTTTAATTTTTCTTTAATTGAAATAAATTTTTCCTTTGAACAATGAAAGAAAAATTGTAATTGTGTTTAGAGACATTATCGGAGTATGAATTTATTTTCCATTCTTTGCCTTCTTATTAATTCAACCGACCTCTAAGTGTTTTACCTTTTATTTAATTAACAAACATTGAAAATACCGTTGGCATTTTAGCGTCGCTCGGGGAAAAACGAGAAGGAATAACGAACGCAACTGTACAACTAGTAACAAATACGCGACGAAAAAGCAAAACGAAGATATCGAAGCGTAAATTGAAACATATGCGATCCCCGCCGTTTTGAAATAATTACAAACAACGCCGCCGGTGTTTGTTTCGAACAAAAAGGCACGCACGCGGTGCGTATTGTTTGTTTTTTCCCTTTTTTTAACCGAGAAACCGAAATATTTAGTTTTTGCAACTGATAATTTTGATTGGGTTTTCGCAATAACTGGTGCGCTATTTTAGAATGTATTGGGTTTCAACGGCGATGAAAATTTTTTTTATATGCAAGGAAGTTCTTGATTCTTGTACAATTTATTCTCCTATTTCTTTATATCTGTTTCTATTTTTCTTGATATTTTTATTTATTTCTCAATCATATGATTTTTTTATATTTTTATTTCTTTATTATTTTTATATCGATGTATTTTTCCAAAGAGCACTTTTATCGGATCGCGAATTTTTTGAAAACTGCGTTATATAGTTGTAATTTCTAGAGAGGTCATTTCGAAAGTTGTCATAACATATTCAACGATAAAACGCGACTCAAATTTGATAAGATTCATAAAATGATTTTACTGTATGTGTGTGTGTGTATGTGCGTATATGCGCCGTGCGTGTGCACTCTGGGTTACATGTGACACAACTTCTTTTGAACTCGCAATCTCTTTTATTTAGGCTATTTCATTGCCCCGATTTTTTTAGTCCCTTTAACGCTCCGTTCGGCACACCTTTGGCAGAATTTCGCGCGATCGAGCATTTCTAATATTGAAATTCATTGGGAAATATGATGAAACTAGCGTTTTCTGATCGAGAATTAAATGAATACAGTAGAAATCATGAAATCAAATTTAGGAATCGAATCATTTCATATCAATCTCATTTCATATCAATATCAGGCGAGATACATATGTGTTAAAAATTTTTTTTCAACATTGTTACATTTATATTTATATTTATATTTACACTTATATTTATATTTATATTTATATATTCATATTTTTTTTACATTTATATTAAAAATGATATGTATATTTATTTATTATTATATTATATATAATAAATAAATATACATATTTATATATTTATAAATATAAATATAATTTATTAATACATATATTTATATTTATTTTATATCTTCTTTTATAACGACATAAGAATTCTTTTCATGAATAATAATTCTTTCAGAATAATAATTTGTTATATCTATCTCGCTTGAGAAAAACTTGCGAATTGGCAGAATGCATAGAACGTCAAAGATCGATCCGTATTTATCTTACCGGAAATGCTTATCCGGTAACTGTTGTTTGCACCTTTTCATTTACGAGGAGAATTTTCCATGCCGCCATTTATCGGTCATAACCATCGCTGGTGCCGTCCTTAATAAATATCACCGGTGAATTTTATTTCCCCACCTCTGATGCTTCTTCGGTATTATCAGTATTTATTATGACTGTTAAGTTGTGTATTTAATTGATCAAAATATAACATCAGTGCAAATATCGCGATCATTTGAATAAAAATTTGAATAAAAGTACCTATTTCAAGCGAGATCAGTATCGATAAATAGATAAAATACTTTTCGTCGGAAGATGTTTGATAGAGAATCAAAGTTCTTTGCAACGAGAAGCAAAGAAAAAGCGAGAAGAAAATTTTTAGCGAAGAAAGCTTTAGTCTTCCTTTGTGTGTGAATGAAATGAGAAAAGGATGAGTCGTATGTTTAAAAAAATTTTATGCGAATTTAGAGAAGATGAAATATCGTCTGTTTTTGTGAATTTCTCAAGAAGAAAGTATTTGTCAAGAGTTCAAATTCTTTTCTTCTTCGATTCATGAAAAATGGACATATATGCATAAGGGTTGGACAAAATGATCTAGTAAAATACGAAAATCGTTTATCAACCTGATATAGGATGACCTTTGGCATTTAATATGGTCTAAATTTACCTAAGAATAAAATCATACAACATCCTGGATATAGCGTTTTTAATGGAATATAATATCATTCTTGCAGAAGTTTAAATCTGACAATTGTGTTGGCCAAAAAAGATGTTTAATTTTGTCTTCATGTTTTTTTTCAAATCAAGACTAAACATTTCTAGCTGTATGAAAAGAAGCATCACAGAGTCACTCTGATTTATTTTGGAAAACAGAATTAGAAACGAATATCTTCCTCTAGTATCTCTAAAGAATTTTTACATGAAGAATGGTATAATACTCCATTATGACACAAGGAGAAAGTGTATGATTCCATTTCTAAGAAAATTCAGATTATTAAATGCTAAAAGTAGTCCTACATCATAGTAATAAAAAATTTTCATTCGTGCACGAGATACTGAGATTAATCTAGATATTGTCTAGTTTTGTCTCGAATAATTGATCTCTAAATAAAGCTAAAATATATATATTTCTAGATTAGATGAAAAGAATTAGATGAGAATCATAATTTAGTAATAATTTAGTGAAGATAGAATTACATTAAATTATAAATATTATATTTATTATATTTATTATAAAAATTATGTCAAATTTATTATTTTAAACAATTGTTCTATGGTAGATAAAAATTATTAATAAAATCCAGATAAAACAAAATTTTTATTACAAAAATTCACTCAAAATTAAGACAAGATTTCGACAATTTTTCAACACAATATTTCTTTACAAATATTGTCTTGTCTTGAGCTTTGTGTGACGCTATTTAATTTTCTTAATTTACTAAACGTTTCTATTATTTTGTCCAACCCTTATATATGTGAAAGATAAGATATTTCGAGATTATGTTATTTCGAAGGCTTAACTAGAAAAAGATAAATTGATATACTGACTGTTCGCCTCAGCACAGTCCTGACGGTCTCCACGTCCTGTCGTGTCGGCCAACGCGCATAGACGACGCCGCTGAGCAGGACGACGAAGACGCCGATCCAGATGGTCCACGCTAGGACGTTGCGTGTCCTCGCGAGCAATTTGCGCGCTGTTCTCGTCGAGATCACTTCCTGGGTCGGTATTTCCAGCTTCTGCGCTCGCCTAAGTATGTCCTGGAGTCGCCTCTTGGCCTGTTCCACATCCGGCACCCCCATCGTCCTTATCTTGCCTCTTATCCGTCCGTTTTTCCCTCCTCCTCACCCACAAGTCGATCCCGAGTCCCGCAGGAGCTCGCGTCCCTCGCGCGTAGGGTATAAGCTACCGACGGCGATCTCACGATGGAGACATTAAGGGTCGTAGAATCGTCTCATATAAAATCCTCGTCGTCGTCGTCGTCGTTACGCCGCGTTCTCGATTTTCTGCAAAATTCATCCCACGCTCTGACTTGCCATTTCGAGAAATCGCCTCGATCCTTCGATTATGGGAAGGATGTGTCTTGCTCGCCCGCGAAGTCTTTCTTGACACGTGACTTTTTTTTAATTTTTCCATAATATCGTCAAATGATTTCTACATCTTATTATCTTTTTTAAGTGTCATTCGACATCAAATTTAAATGTCATTCGATTCAATTCAAAAATTGACAAATTAAAATAAGACAATTGCGATAATCTCTCTCTTTCTCTCTCTGTCTCTCCCTCTCTTTTCTAAATTTCCGAGTTACATACCATGATTTGATAGAAATATGCGATCTAATATTAAACGAGCTTTAGCACTTAATTCCGCGCGAAGGAAGAATTCAAAAATACGCTCTGCTATTGGTCCTCCTTGCTTCTTCCTCAACCTCCGACCCTGTATAATCGATTCTGGAATTATTCCCGCCATGGTAATTACCTAATAATTCCAGGATCGATCCCCCCCCTCTCTCTCTCTCTCTCTCTATCTATCTATCTTGGCAGAAATGATGCACGAGGAAACTCGTCCCTAATTTCCTCCCATGCGAAAGTTCGACCTACTTTCGTTGTAACCACCAGGATTATAAAGACTTGCACACGTGACAGGCACGCTAACGATTTGAACGATTTTTTAATAATATATCACGTGCAACAAGCTTTTTTAGAAAAATCAAATTTTTAATTATTTGTATATTGAACACAAAAAAAGAGGATTTAAAAATTGTAACAAGAGTACGAGTGAATTAATTTTATCACTCTTTTTCAAACTTAACATTAATCTATTTCTCTTCTTCTTTAACATTTTTTAAATTATAATTAATAAGCTTTACTAAAATTTCAATTCTGTTAAAATATATTGACATATATAGATAAAATATTTATTGCTTTTTTATTCACAAATAATATGTATTTTAACAGAATTGAAATTTTGATAAGGAGGCTCGTATATTGTAATTCTAATCTATTCATATATATATATATATATATATATATATATATATATATATTTATATCAATAAATAAAAAAATAAATTTAATAAGCCAGGTATTGCCATTACTATTTTTCATATACTGCTGTTACTTAATATTATCCTCTCTACATTGCTCCTAATTACTTCGAACTAAGTTCAGTCGATTATTTCCAAACCAAAGTATCTCGAGAATTGTATCTCTTCATCAAGCTTCATAACTTTCCCTCCTCCGAATTATACTCAGACTCTGTTCTGCGATTGAATGAGATCGCTTTCCGGGTATCTCGAGAATTTCCGGCCGAGAGAGTTTCGCGTTCGTTAGTTTCTTATAAATTTCCCAAACGAAACTCCGTCGACCTTCTTCGGATTACGTCACGCGGCGAACGGGAAGAAAAAAATCTTTTGTGAATCTTCTTCGTGAACGGAAACTTTTGTGCCCCTCGGCCCGTAAGGGCGACGGGGGTGGCTGGGAAAGAGAGCGGTTTATCTTCCGAAAGAAGTTTTCGCGTGTATGAGGGAAGGGAAATACATATCCCTTCGATCAAACCGCAGCTACGAGCCGCAAGAGAGCATCGGGCCAGTGATTCTCCATCGTCCTCCTCCTCGGAGGAGTCGATCATTTATCAAACACGCATTCAACATTAATCAGTTGTCTCGCTACCGGCAGGGGAATCTCTAGAATTCATAATGCGAGAGAATTTGACTAGACTCTAAATTAACCGCTAAGCGAGTCTAAGAAACGAGTCCTTTTTTTGCGCTTAAAAATTCTACTTTGTTCTACGTCTGTAAAGCAAAAAAAATTGCAATTCTGAAATTTAGTTTGAAAATATTCAGGTTTGCGTCAATTAATTTAATTTTCCATTTTAATTAAGAAAATTTAATTCATTCTCATTAAAAATTTCATTTAAGCTTTCATTGTTAGAATGTTTAATGTTGAACGTGTAAAATATATGTACTTTTAGAACAATTACTGAAAGTGTGTAAAATATATGTACTTTTAGATTACTGAATTTCTGTAAAATTTCATTGGCGGAATATTGATTTAATATTTTCGGGAAAATCAAAAAACACTTGAATTTAAATTAATAATCGAATGTATCATTTATATTCCTATTATTATATTCTGCAACTATGCCTGCAATGCCTTAGGGAATGTTGTTCTAGGAGAAACTTCAATAGTTCCTGTCCCATTCTAAATGCAATTACAACATAGAGACTCACAATACTAGCGATAGCATCGTGTTTCAAGCCATCGAATCGATGTTTTCGATTTGGCCCGATACTCTTCTTTACAATACAACGATTTTCAACAATCCTGTCTGTCTAAACAACAAACTACGCTACTTGCTGTTAGAATTGTCTTGTCTTTTTGATTTTTACGCTTTTCGACTCTGTCTTTTTCCATTTCGACGTTTCGCATTTTCCTGTAATTTCGAATTGAAAACATGGTTTTTTTCGCGAATAGATTCAGTAGCATACAAACGGATGAAAAATTATTTCTTTTACGTACACAGTAAAAAATTGCGCGTCAATATGTTAAAAATTTTTTTGTGTTACCACGTTTTGATTAGTACTTTAATGTAAAATTAACATACAACTTATATGCTATTATTTTTATATGTTATTAACGTTTTCATGTGTTACATTTATGTCAACTTCATAACTTGACACTTTGTATATGTCTTTTAAAAATGGAATATTATTTTGAGTATTTTTTAACATTATCATTTTAAACAATCAATTTGTCTCAAAGTTAGTTTAACATTCTAAGAAAAGTTAAAGTGAATCTTCAAATAATCTTGAACTTTGACATACAAAATAATCAGATGTAGTAAAATAGTCAAATGCTTCTATTACAAATAATAATTCTATTACAAATAATTTAAGCTAAAATAATTACTATTATATTTGTTAATGTCCTACAACAATTCTTATAAATTATTGTAACTATTTTTCATGTAATTTTTAATTAATTTGTATGTTATTTTTACATTACACTTAAAGTCACAAAAATAAATGTAAAGTATTGTGTCAATTATTTAACATTTTTAGTTTATCAATAAGTAACATACGACGAGTGAGTTATTTTAACTTAAAATTTAGAGTGGACTTTCTGGGACATGTTATAATTAATAAATATAAAAATGTTATAATTAATATTTTATATTTTACTGTGTAATTTCACAAGCAAGCTTTTTGTGTAAACAAAATTTTAATACGTTAAAAACTAATTGTCGCAAAAAATTGAATGACGGTCCGCGAAATTTACGCGTTAAAGGAGGCAATCGTCTTGAAATCAATTTAACGCCGGCCAACTTAATCGTTACTTGAGAGATATTTTAACGCGCTTTTGCACTAGGCCCGACAGGAGGAGAGGGAGGGAGGAGAGTTAATGTAAAATGCAAAGGATTTATGTGTAACTCAGCGAGAGCAGTAAATGCAGCGCAGCAAGCAGCGAATCCATTTTGCGCTTCTCGCACGGAATAACTCATTTGACGTTAACTAAACACGATGAACTAGATTCAGAGACGGCGCTTGGGATATCGCTGGCTCTACGAGTCTACGAGTCCGAGATTGTCTCGGCAAACACGCTTGCTAATTCATAATCTCTCCGGAGACCGTTCCGAGGATGGAAATGCGCCACACTCGATTACACCCGCGGAGAATCCCTTTCTGGAAGCGGGAGGAGGGGGAGGGGGAGGAGGGAGAATGGCATTCTAACGAAATTACAGAAATTTCCCACGACGAATAGAGAGAATCAAGCTTGTTCGTTTGATACTGATAATTATGCAATTATTTGTAACTAAAAGACACGCTCGAGCACCGTACGATTACGCTTCGAAGTTGAATAATTGAGAATTTTTTGAAGATTAATAATGATAAGAGAGGATTTTAATTTTTCTTTGACAAAAGATACGGCAATTATTATACATTGTGTTATAAAGCATCATTATGGTGGTGCAACGAAACGTTCAGTCGAAATGTAAATGTACCGAATTGCTTTGTCCGCTCACTGCCCAATAACAATTAATATATTAATTAATACGAATATATTTTTCTCGTTTGCCTAATGGACATGTGTTATCTCATATAATGAATATAAATCGCGTTATCTTTCTCTCTGCTTTAATTCAGATAATGGAGTCCCAGGTTATCGAGGTAAGTTTCCGTCCACGTATTCACGTCAAAATTTGTCCGGGGATTATGTCATAATGATCGCGTTTCTGAGGATCAAAGGGCAATCATATATGATTGCACTTGAAGCATGTCGCTCGACATCAAACTCTTCCGTCTAATTGCAGTGCTCTTGACTCAAAGACACAAGTCACTCGACTGAATGGTATCTCACTCTATTGAAACGATAAACTCGTCAAACTTAGACGTCCTTTAAAATCTGAGCTTTATGATTATTATTAACGAGATACATATATGCTAGATGATTATTAAAAAATATTGTAGATTATTATTAAAACGAAATTTAATTCTTTTATTCATTAAAATAAATTTTACTCGCGCAATCTATATATCTATGATATATATATATATATATATATATATATATATATATACTTACGTTAATTACTAAACCATTATCGGTTAATTAAATATGCTTATAATTTTAATTAAAATTTTCATGATTGCATTGTTAAAACTCATCGATACAACTAATGTTATAACACGTTCTTGTTAAAGGGAATGTGTTTTGAACGAGCAACAACTGTTATCAATTATTAATTCTCATTAATTATCACACGATAAATAATCTTGACACTTACCATTTATAATTATATTTAAAAATAATTTGATATTTTCATGCAATCAAATTCTCGAAGTTCATGCAGATTTTTTGTAACATTGTTATCTACATATATTATTTATTTGTGTTGCTTCACGATATTCAAAACTAACTTTTACACAGAATGTTTTTAAAAGCATTAATTATAAATATAATTAAAGTTTATGTCAGTTATTATTTTTATTTATACAGTATCGATCAACAGCGTTACGTTTTCCCTAAAAAATAAGGAAAACGCAAGTAAATGAACAAGTTTTCTTATTTTCTTTTAACTCGTGTTCATAAAGAAAATTACGAAGGCATAAAATATAATTTGTCAATATTTATATACTTTTTAAAAGTTTTGCTCATCATAGATTTTCATGTTTCTGTAAATAATACAATACTTTTGATCTTACCATATATGTCTTGAGGAAAAATAAAAGAACAAATTAAATTACCATCAATTCTAGCAGTAGAAGCGAGTTTTAACGATACGATCCATCAGCACAACTGTCAATTGACGAAAGTCGAATTGAAAGATAGAAGCATTTCTTTTAGTTTCCCATTTCCTTTAACTAGTTAGATATCTTTAGCTAATGCAGATAGATTTTATTCTCAAGCGATAATTATTACGTTGTCGTTGTTAACAAATTTTATCTCCGCGAATACGATACTAACTTGTAATCTCACTGGAAATCTAATTGCCGTAGGATTTCGGTCGATCGATGTTGCAATCGGCAATGGAGAACAATTAAATTCGTCCGACGTCGATTAACTCTCTCGCATCCTCTCACTTAATATTGCTCTATACTTCTGACAAATGAATCGTCAGGTGATTTTGCTAGATCAACGTATTCGTCGGTTAATATGTGACGATTGAATCACACACGTTTCACTCGTGTCGGTCAATATTTCATTTACTGATATCGCTGTATCATCACCGGACAATATACGATTATGTAATTAAAGAATTGATTGCTGTTGTTGATCAATGTCATCCCCTGCTTGTTTGGCATCGCGGAAAGTATGATAAAAAATTATCGCGAGTCAATCGACATCTAAATTGATCAGCATCGTCGATCGATGCCGAGGCGATCAAATCGAGACGCGAATTAACCAACCCTCGTTATCCGGTGGAAGGACGTGGCTCTTTTTACGCCCGGCGTATCCGCAGGATAATGACAGTTCTCTTCAGGATTCGTCGTCGGAAGGTTTCTCGGACGAGCAAGGCACAGATCGATCGCGTTTTCGTGATCCTTACTGTGTATTCGTCACTACTCCCACGACGAGAACACTTGTACCCATCAGTAATCACCAGAGCGAGACCGATGTACGACCCTCTACTGGCATAAGCGATACCTCACGGCGTCTCGTAAACGTACACGTGTCTCGTATAAACCTCCCCCGTCCGGAGACGGAGTTTCTAAGCCACGATCGGCATCGCGGACTTTATTTCTCATCAGCGACGACGAGACGCGTGTTGATGCTGTCGGTTTGGACGAAACGCGACGCACGAGAAATGTCACGCGATCGCAACGGCCCGATTTCCCGGACGGGCGAGAACTGACCGGCCTCGCCGAGGGTAGCTACCCTTATAGATATACGACGCACGCATGCGCCGCACCGGCCGTGACGCCGCGCCACGCTGCGGCGCTAAAGGGACGCGCCGATTGGTCACCCCCTCGCCCCCTCCCTTGGCGGGGGTGAGCGAGCGGCCACCAGCAAGGGAGAAAGTCGGTCGCTCGGCCGGAAAGTGACAGTGATAAGAGCCCGTGCATGCCAGACGCGAGAGCGGAGCGCGAAGGAGAGATCCTGTGACGTTTCTCAGAGATCGATATGTTATCGTATGTCTGTCTTTACCATACATACACGCTGCTATGGATATGCAAAATTGACGACCGATTCAAATTAAAAATTGACATTCGCTATTTTATGTATAAGATATTTCAAAAAGGTATTACAAAATGTTTTGTTTTATGAAACTTAAACGTAGTATAAAATATGTTTCAGACAAGATTTATAGGATTTTTGGAGAAAGTTGATAATCTTGAATTTTAACTATGGTCATTTTTCAATGTCATAAAGAGGAATTTAGATTATTTTTAAATGGACCATCCTCCTAATTTTTTTATATAAATCGATTTTTGCAATATTCGGTATTAAAAGTTGTAAGGATAAGCCAAAAATTAAATATACGTATAATTTACGAGATATTTTTTACATATTTTCATTTAACAATTTTACATAAACTACGAGATATTTTGTAAATTAATTAATTTTTTAATTATCTTGCTTCAATACTTTTGTACAAAATAATAGGAGAAATCAATAAGGAAATAAAGAAAGTACATAGTTATTTTATTAGTTAGCTATTTTTTCTATTGATTTCTCCCATTATTTGGTACATACACAGAAAAAAAAAATAAGTGTCAAATCGAAACTTATATACTTAAACTAACGATTTATAATCTTGTTAGAAGAATTTAATAATTTCAAATTTCATCAATATTATAGTCTTATTTTAATATTTTAATTGTCACCTCAAGAATATATAATTATTTAATTCTATTTTAAGAAAATATAATCTTTGATTTAAAAATGTTATTTTCTAACGTTGTTTTTTTTTCTTTTCCATTAAAGAAAATTAATTATTTGTTAAATTATTTGTTAAATGTTATTTTCTAACGTTGTTTCTTTTCCATTAAAGAAAATTAATTATTTTAAATCATAAGAATATATTTTTCTCGATGGAACTATATAAAATGACTTCATTCAAGTAAGCAATTATTCAAGCAATTATATTTTTAAATTTGTAAGATAACAATTACAAGAATATTAATTTACGAACCATTATGCACGATGAAAAGAACAATCTTTGATAATAATTTTTAGATATAAATCAGAAATGTTTTAATCGCCAATTAATTCTTCAACTAACGAGAATACAATAATGAATTAAAAGGAATTAATGTATAAGATACGACTAATAATTTAACCGTTATAAAAAATTAATATATAAAATATATTATTTTTTTAAGAATAATATATATATAAATTTGCGACTTAAAAATTCGCGCATGTAAAGCTACACAGAAAAAAAAAAGTAAGTGTCAAATCACAACTTATATACTTAAACTAACACATTCATTGTTTCGTATATATGAAACAATTTATAATCTTCTCAGAAGAATTTAATAATTTTAAATTTTAACAATATTATAATCTTATTTTAATATTGTAATTGTCACCTCAAGAATATATAATTATTTAATTCTACTTTAAGAAAATTATAATCTTTGATTCAAAAATGTTATTTTCTATCTAACATTGTTTCTTTTCCATTCAAGAAAATTAAATCTTAAATCATAAGAATATATTTTTCTCGATTGAACTATATAAAATAACTTCATTCAAGTAAGCAATTATTCAAACAATTATATTTTTCTTTAATTGACGCAATATAATCTCATTTCAAGATTTCCATGTTAAAACTAAATATATTTTCAAAACAAGAATGTTCTTTTTTTCTGTGTAAAAGTATTGAGACAAGATAATTAAAAAATTAATATTTTATAAATATGTCTTGATTTATTTATTTTTAAGAATAAATACAATTTGCATCGAACAGTTGGCGATTAAAACATTTCTGATTTATATCTAAAAATTATTATCAAAGAGAAAAAAAGAAAGATATATTTATACTAATATATAATATAAATTCTTACCTCAATTAATAACGATGCGAAGATCGTCTCTCGAAAGTCTGTCTCTCGACGTATTGCTCGATAATCTGGGATGATTGCGAGGAATAATAATCCTTAGGTACACTGGTTTCGACACTCGCGATTTTATACGATTGTTGTAGCAAATTATATAATCGCACGCAATTATTCGACACTCCCGACATTTACGTACGCGCGATTTATACATATTTATATTATATATAGATCGCGCGACACTCGATTCGACACTCCCGTTATACATGACTGATAATATTAATATATTCGGCACTCGCGATATTAATTCACGCGTAAAAATTATGCGGAAACGAAGAGTACCACATGAATGTCAAAGTACAACTAATATGGCGATAATGTACGTGCTTGTTTAGTCATCTCTGTTGGAGGTTACACATGTTTACGTTTGACCCTTCGCCGCGATAATAACAACTTTAATGGTGCGTACGTATAATATAACATAATATAACGTATAACAATATAATAACAATGATATGTGTATTATTTATAATATATGAAAAGTCGAGAACGCGAGACACAATGGTAGGTTGTAAAGAAATAAAAATATTTCGGAAAGCTCGGAATATTTCGGAGCTCATCGACAATTCAATTCACGTTCGCGATACTCACTTTCGATGTTGACGTCTTGCGAAATTCGCGCGATACTCGAATCGACTCTCACTCGCGTTCAATTCGCGCATATTATTCATTTTTACCGAATAAAACCGCGACGAAGGAAAGAACTTTGGGGACTATTTTGTCCCCCTCCGCGGGCAGCTTTCGCGCGGAGAGGGGGAGTGACGTCACACGACGTCACACTACGTCGCACAAACTTCGAGATTAGATATTCTTACGCCAACATGGCGCGAGGACGTGTTTCAAGTACGCGCTTTATGAATTATTTTCGCCAATCGTACACGTTAATTGTACGTCGAAGCGATTACATTTGACTTAACGCGAACTAAACTTCTCTAAGGTAATCATTATATAAAGATCTTTTTAGCAAATAGCGTGTTTTCATACCGTTTTAATCATGTGAAAAAAGCAAGGATTACGCGAAAATTACTAATATGTCTTCGCGCATTCTTGAGTAGGGGAGAAGGCGTTACGTCACGCGGAATTCGACATTCTTATGCCAACATGGCGCAAGGACGCACTTTAAGTACGCATCGCGTTGTATTAAATATTTTCACCGATCGTTGAGCGTCAATTGTATGTCGAAACAATTGCATATTCGAATTAATGCGAATTAAACTTTTCGAGGTAACTATTATATAAAGATCTTTGTAGCAAATGACGTGCTTTTATATCGTTTTAATCACATACAGAGAAACAATATAGAGAAAGATTACGTGAAAATTACTAATTCGCATTTTTGTGCAGGAAAGAAGTTGTTATGTCACGCTACTTTAGGCAGAATTCGATTTTCTTATGTTAACATAAAGGACATAATTCGAGTGCGAATCGAAACAGTTGCATATTTGAATTAATACGAGCAAATTTTCGAGGTAATTACTTTATTGATTAACTTTTTGATAAATTATAATTTTTTGATAAATTGCGTACTTTAATATAATTATATAATATTAATATAATTATATAATATATTATATAATATATAATATTTTAATATAATATATTAATATAATTATATTAATATAATTTCAAACATATATAAAAAGAAACGAAGGACTATATGAAAATTATTAATTCGCCTCTGTGCATCCTTTGCAGGAAAGAAGATGTTACATCATGTTACTTTACGCGGGAATCGATATTCTGATCGATAACATGACATCAAAAGTTCATTGACTTAGGTATGTATCATACTGTGTTAATTAATATTTCGCTAATTATTATATGTTAAATATTCGAATTGATAAAGATCTCGAGGCAACTTTTATTTATAGATTTTCTGACAAAATGCCTATTCCATATCGTTTTAAATCCATGTAAAGCGAAAGGAGAATTACATGAATTAATATACAATGTTGATATTTTTTTGTTAACTGCACAATATATCATTTGAAAAAAGTTGTGTCTTGAATTGTAGTGTTTAGAGAAACAGAGACAAGAGAAACAAAAGGCTTTATAAGTTTATGTATAAATAATTAAATAATTATAATGAAAAAACATTTAAATAATTAAATTCATATAATTTCTCCCTTTCTCTCTTCATACGTATATTTGATGTATCCACTCGTGCTTACACAGTCTATCTCTTTTATCGCGTACTACATCAAGTTTAGCTAAATAATTTATAACCATGTGCACTTTGTTGCGTTTTGCAGGTGCGCCATTATGTTTACCGCGATTACAACCGTAGAAGGTTAGTTGTAATATGCAAATGAATAAGTCGGCGATATGTCACGGCGATGATCGTCCCTGTCGTGCGGTTTTCAAGACTGTGTCTTCCCATAGCGGACTGTGTCTCGCATAGCGGATTAAAACAATTCGCGCCGTGCTCCGATGCAAAACCTGCAAATCACCCGGGGTTTACTGCGACGTCGTCTTCCCTGCCATTGCATCCATGTTGCTACGTCCACGCACGACGATTAATCCAGCCGGCCATGCTGCAAATCAAGGTAAGTACTTTATCCTTTTTCGAGGCTCACGCGGATATTATGTTTGCCGCAGCCACGCGTCGGGAAATAGGCGAATGAAAACGGAAAGGCTATGAAACGGGGGCCAATTACTATCGATTAATAGCTCTTCGTTTTCTCTCGCTAGCATTAACGAGAGTCCACAATGCACTTAAACGTATAGTATAAAATGGTAGGAATAGAGCAAAAATTAAATATAATTTTACGA